GGCGGGCCCCAATCTAAAATGACTGCTGTCCTTACAAAAGGGGAAAATTTGGACACAGACAAACAGACATGGAGGGAAGGCAATATGAAGAAGCACATAGAAAAGATGGCCATCTAAAAACCAAAGAACACTTGAGGTTACCAATGCCAGGAGGGAGGCTGCCAACAGAAACTTTCTGGTGCCTGGTACATGGCTCTGCTGACATGCCAGTTTTGGACTTCTGGCCTCCAGAGCGTTGAGATAGTAAGCTTTTGTTCTAAGGTCCTTAGTTGGTGGAACTGTGTTAAAATATCCCTAGGAAACTAATACAGTTATTTTTAAAACAAGAATTTTATAAATATCTAAAAAATACATCTCTCTAGATAGTAATTTCTTCTTCTCAAAAAGTCCTGAGGCTAATAATCCTTCCAGACTAAGCTGAACTGAGTGTATCTAACAGAGACTGAAAGCAGATGTGACTTCTAATTTACACTCAGTTACAGATAGAAGCTCTCCATGTTACTTGAAGGGTTATGATTTTCTACCTTGAAAGAGTTTGAGTGGACAGATATTTTGTATGTGAGGATTGCCAAAGAGCACTGAGCAGCAATGTGAATTTAAAAAGTGTCTTTGTACATAGGAAAAAAGACTACAAGTATGGGTGCTGCTTGGTGGAATGAATGATAATTTTTTTTGTTATTTGTACATCTGTTTCACAAGCAAATATATATTATTACATTAATCATAATATAATATATTCTAGTGAATATAAAACAAAACCTAGTATCACATAGTATCATTTGTGTTTTTTGAAGCAGGCTATTGCCAAGTGGCCAGGCTGGTTACTAACTCCTGGGATCAAGCAATACTCCTGCCTCAGCCTCCAGAGGGGGGGCTGGGACTATAGGTGCATGCTAACACTAGTATCTTTTTTTGCTGTTGTTATTGTTAAAGACTTTATTTTTTTCTGACTCTTCCAAATAGGGAAGACAATGGTCCTTTCAAATACTATGTAAAATCTGTATTATCTTTTTCTCTCCTGTGACTATTAATTATGACATGTCAACTTGAATGGATTAAGAAATGCCAGCAAGGCTGGGGATTTAGCTCAGTGGTGCCATGCTTGCCTTGCAAGCTTAAAGTCCTGGGTTTGATCCCAGGTACCGAAAAAAAAAGGAAGAAATACCTAGAAGATTAATAAAGCATAATTCTGGATGTGTCCATGGACAATTGATATATAGACCAGCAAACTGAGGGGGTAAAGACTCTCCCAGGATGTGGGTGGCACCAACCAACAGGCTTGTAGCTTAGATGGAATCAAAAAGGGAAAGAAGGAAGTGCCTCTATTTTGGAAGAGCTCCAGTTTTTGCCATCACCTTGGACATTGGTTTCCACATTTTTTTTGGTACTGGGGATTGAACTTGAGTCCTTGCGCTTGCACAGCAGGCGGCGGCAAAACCACTGAGCTAAATCCCCAGCCCTGCCTGGTTTCCACTTTTCTACTGCAGACTCATGGCGATTCTGCAGTGAGCTTCCAGGCCTTCAACCTTGGACTGGAACTGCATCCTAGATCCCTCTTGCTCTGTGGCTTCCATCTTCTTGGGCTAAGCAGCTATTGGATCCTCCAGCTCTACAGCATGCAGATGACTATTGTAGATTCTTTGGCTTCAGATCCCACAGAGAGTCATTAAGGACTCTTGCAACTCTGCTCCTGTAAGCCTAATAAATCCCCTTGCATAACTGTACATATATTTAATGTTGATCCTGTTCCACTAGAGAGCAACACTAATACACCTGCCATCTTCCAACCTATGGTGTTTCCTTTTGCACTCTACTGTATGGTTCAGCAGGAGAATGGCGCTATGGTTAGTGCAACACGGTTAATAGCTCCATGTATTTTCACTGCAAGTGACTGGACTATGAATCACCTTTGGATACATGGGGGACTACTCAAAGCAAATACCAACTCCCCAGCTTGTGATACTGGGGATAAGTAAGTTATGCATGGGACATTCTTTGCTGAAGGTAAGGGTGCCCATTCCTTTACTAGGGCACCAATACAGATGGATTTATACAAGAAAACCTCCAGAAAATCATTGCCAACAACTGAGAAAATGACACTCTTTGGACAACTGCTCTTAGCGGGAGCATAAGGGCATCCTTGGTGGGGTTCATGGGGTAAGAGGCTTGCTTGTTCAGGAGACAGATAAAGTAAGAAATTAGAACTGTTTGGCAGATAGCTTGCCATGAAGCACACTGACATAGACAAGTGTGAATGATAGTTAAATGTAATGATCAAAACCAGGCCTTAGCTTCCTTTGCCTGGTCACAGATCGTAGATAAATTTAAGGTTGTACCCACCCCTGTGTACATGAATTCATGAGTCATGAGGAGAGATGAAGGGCAAGGCAGTTCCCTGAGAATAATGCTGACGGTGCCCGCCTTGAATTTAATATGAATATGTGACAGAGCCAGTCTTTTGCCTGTTATTACTTAATGTCTCCAGAGTGGTTCAGCTCGTTCTACTTGATGTTTTTATAGCTCTCAGTAACAGTACATGCTCTAAGAAGAGACTGTTTCTTTCCTAGGGCCCACATCTTCAGCTTGATGGAAAGGTTCAGCACCCAGTAGCTATTAAGAGCTCGCTGTGTACAGCTGCCCACATACACACAGCTCTGAGAGTTGAGAGCTACAGCATGGGTGCTTGGGAAAGTAGTTGTCACTGTGCAAGAGCCAAATCTTTATTTTGATGACCAGGAAATCAGTAGATACTTTCGTAAACTTGAAAACAACTAAATAAAAGTGTATCCATTATATTTTAAAAGATGGCTATAAATAGCTTTAAAAAAATCGCTAAAACAGCTTGCTAGGAAGAAAACAAAGGGAAAACCAGAGACCAAAGAAAATGAGAAGGTGGGAATTGGATGAAAGAAATAGAGAAATGTGGGCCGGGGATTTAGCTCAGTGGTTTTGCCACCTGCTGCGCAAGCTCAAGGACCCGAGTTCGATCCCTGGTACCAAATGAAAGAAAGAAAGAAAGAAAGAAAGAAAGAAAGAGAAATGACTTCTCTGCATCAATCTTTTTGTATAGTTTTGACTTTTACAAGCATATTAATATTTTACTTATTAAAATTAAATCAGTTATAGGGGGAAAACTCTAAAATTCAATATGAAAAGAAATATACGCAGGTGATTTTAGATGAGCAACATGACTATACTGAATGAAAAAAGAATTAACAAAAGCAGCTATTGAACACTAAGTTGACTATAGCCCTTCAATCTTCTTCTTCTTTTTTTTTTTTTTTTTTGCCCTTCCATCTCAAAATGAAAGAACTGCAAACAAATCCTGGAACGCTACTTGAAAGCCTGATCTCCTTGCCAGGCTGATCAGTGATAGCACCAATAATGGAACAGAATATCGTGTGCTTCTTGATGAGATGCTTTGAGGTAACAGTGCCATATTTGTGATATTCCTGCCCCAAATAAGACAAACTGAATCTAATGAATTAGCCCCAGACAGCCCCAAACGGATGGGATTTTTAAAAATATTTGAATTGTAGGGTCTGAAGGTGTGGTTCAGCGGTAGAGCACTTACCTAACATACATGAAGTCTTAGATTCCACCCCAACACTGAAAAAAATTGAATTATAGGTATTCTTTAAAAATTAACCATGTTATTAAAGACAAAGGAAAACTGAGAATCTCTTTCAGATTGAAGGGTTCTAAACATGACCTGACAGCTAAATGCAATATGTGATCCCGGATTAGATCCTAAACTGGAAAAGAAGTTCTTCTAGTGAATATTACTTGAGAGGTGAGTAAAATTTGACTATGAGCTGGGCCTGGTGGTGCAGGCCTGTAATTTCAGCACTCTGGGAGGCTGAGGCAGAAGGATCACAAGTTTGAGCCCAGCCCGGGGAACTTAGCAACTTAGTGAAACTGTCTGAAAATAAAAAATGAAAGTGAGCTGATGTAGATTAGTGGGAAGCCCTTGGGTTGAAGCCCCAGAACTGCAAAGAAAAAAAAGAAAGAAAGAAAAAGAAAACTGAGTAAGGCCTATAGAGCACATAATATAATATGATAATAATGTCAAATTTCTGAATTTTTCCATATGTATTGTGATTATGTAATATAACTTTTTCATAAGAAATACAAACTGAAGCATTTATAAGTAAAACAACACCGTGTCTGTGACTGACTCTCAAATGACTGAAAAAAAACACCCCAAATTTGTGAGTGCACGTATACACACACACACAGAGTGTACACAAATGTGGCAAAATGTTAATAGGTGCATAACGTAGGTGAAGGCTATAGGAGTTATTTGCATACTTTTTCCAGGTTCTCTCTAAGTGCAAAATTATTTCAAAAAATTTTAGTTAAAAAAAAATTTTTAGTTTTTAAAAAAAATGTGCTCTAGCCAGGCATGGTGGCACATACCTCTAATCCCAGTACTCAGGAAGCTGAGGCAGGAGGATTGCTGTGAGTTCGAGGCCAGCCTGGGCTACATACCAAGACCCTGCCTCAAATAACCAAATAAATAAATAAAAATAAAAAATATGCTGTAGCTCCTTCCTCGACACATTTATTTTCCTTTTTGTACTTATTCTCAATCTGGGGTTTTTATTGGTGGAGTGTTTGTATAGCCTTGAACTTTCCTGATGAAGCAACATGACAGAATGAAATGACAGAAGAGGAAATAGGGCTGTTCCATTTGGTACAGTCACTGCCTGATAAAAGCAGTGGCTCCAGATCTGTTTCACCTCCTAAAAAGAAAGGGGAGTATTTTAGTCCCTTCTTGTCATCATTGTTTAACCTTAATTTGGTCACTGGTAACTGGGAGGAAAGGCAGAATCACAAAAGGTAGCAAGAGGGACGTGCATCCATATTGGAGATCCCTCCCTTTCTTAAAAAGGCCAGGCTGTGCAAAGGTGTGTGGGACCCTAATATAAATGGCTCTAGCATGATAACTTGAGACAATTCTTTTATTGAACTGCTTAGCATTGGACCACTGTGTGGGTAAATTTCTTTAATATCCAGGATAATGCAAGTACAATAGAAATGCTTTGTTGTAATATCAATATTTACAGTGGACAAATGGATATTACAATCCAGAGGTTTAGGTACAGATTTCACAATTACAAAGAGGCGATATCGGCATCATCTGTAACAGACACTCACCCAGAGGAGTATCGACAACATGCTTTGTGTAGCCACAAATTATTCAGAAAGTAAAGCTTCCATGACAAGCCATCAAATTCACAGGCATCGTCAGCAACACAACAGCATCTACTAGGTAAGAAGCCACAGCAGTACACAGTGACCATGACAGCACTTGGGAGATGGGGAGCATAGGAGACCTAAGACCTGAAGTCAGCTCATCCGCCACCCACCACTCACTTGTCCCTGTAGTTTACAATTTCATCTATTCATTCTGAGGCTTCCACTCAAGACCCTACTCTAGAAAATTCTAGTTGCCTCTCATACTTCAGGGTATTGGTCTATGTCAAAGGTGATGTGTAGTCTGCAAAACTGGCTTCCTTCCAAAGGCAATGATAAAGAAGGAACATAGTCCCATTTGTTAATTTCACAAAAAGTGAAAAAAATAAAAAGCTATAGAGTGTGAAGCGTGCCCCCAGCAGCAGCCCCCCCATTCCAGTTGTGAGTTCTTTTTTTTGAATTTTCTTTACTGGGAGCAAAGAATGCTCAACACTGAAGTGTGATTCTCATGGAGGGATTTTCACTTTGTCAGGAGCCAAAGCCTTAGCTGAATCCACTGTTCACTTAGAGCTGGTGGAGCAGGTTTGCTATGAGGTCGCACTCGGTTGATACCACTCAGGCCTGAGAGCCTCTCTGTCCTGGAGAACCCAGTCAATTAATTAATATTTTCAATTACATTCTTGGCAGGTGTCAACTTGCCCTTCACAAAGGCTCAGCAGCTATGGTGCTCCCTACAGGTTTCATCCCAACATCAGGTCTCTACAGGACTGGAAGAGAAGCCTGGGCAGACCAGCCAGGTCCTGCCTGTGATTCTCCTCCCCAAGCCTCCTTGGCACAGTCTGTAGGAGGCTTACCCTACTCTTCACGGGTAAGTGGAAGCTCTCTTGTGCTCAGGTACATTCCTAATTCCCAGGACAGTGCAGCCAGGTCTTTCTTCCATCCCCTCAGCAAATGAGGCTGAAAAAGGTGGCCTACATTAAGCAACACGAAGTCGAGATTTTATAACACCGCTGTAGATGTAGTCAGCAGGTTAAAAGTTGAGCTTCTGGCGCCGGGGATTTAGCTCAGTGGTTCCACCGCCTGCTGTGCAAGCGCAAGGACCTGAGTTCGATTCCCGGTACCAAAAAACAAAACAAACAAACAAAAAAAGTTGAGCTTCTGACAGGAAGGTCTCTCTTTCGACTCCTTGGCATGTACCATTGTACTGCTTTCTTTGTGGAGCTTTCATTAATTTTATGCAGTATTTCACAGCTTCAATTTCTTGCATCTTGGTTTACTTCCAGAATCATCAAGGAAGCATCTCGGATTCTGCTTGCTTATATAGAGAGATTTCAAGTAGATTTGGTTTTTAATAACCCCAGTGCCCTAATGTATGTTGATAACTCTTAATTTGATGCATTATGACCTATATTTTCTTTTTAAAGATGGAGGGGTTTTTTGTTTGTTTGTTTGTTTATGTTGTGCTGAGGGTTGAATCTGGGCCTTGTACATGGTAGGAAATAGTGCTCACCACTCAGCTAAATCCTCAGCTGAAGCTTCTGTTGTTAGAGAGCACAGCCAGATTCACTGGACCTTCAGTTGCGCTTTTCTGGGCTGCTCATCTTTTTGACTGAACTCAACAGGAATGAAAAAGTCAGTCATTTCTGTTCTTTGAAAAACCTATTTAAAAAAAAAGAAGAAAGCCTTTCCCTTCTGTTTGCCCCAGATAGCACTTCTGCCTGAGTTCCATACAGTGACCTGCTTGCTGCTGGTATGAATTGGGGGCCTGGAAGAGAGAAATTGAGGACTTCAAAAAGGTTCCTAATGAAATTCAAAAACATGGATTGAAATTAAATTTGTTTTTCACATATTTCTTCCAGTTCGCTTTGTGAAGAGATTAGAAAGCAAGTCATCAGAAAACAAGGTCAGAGAAGATCTTTACCAGAGAACCCTGTTACACAGCTAGTCCTCCTAAGAAGATAGCATAAGTAAATGGTTTTGAAGGGGCATGAAGTAGAATGCACACTATTTGTTTAGATAAAAGGGAGAAAGTCCTCCTGGTGAAAACAGAAATAACTGTGGAGACTTGATCAACTTTATCAGCAGAAAAAGACCCTTTTCAAAAATTGAGCGTGACCAGGTCTCAGTGTGCCCCCAGACCCAGGATTTCCAGAGGAAGGATGGTTCTGTGGAGATCAGCATGGTTTCCCCGGGTACAGGAATTGGCTCGATTATAAAAGCAAGGAGCAACAGCTTCACTTAGATGTAAGGACAGGGGAACATATAGACCACATAATAGATACACAATAAATACTCATCAGTCCGTGAAAAAAGATATTTTTAGAAGCCAGTTGAATATCACTTGTGTTAATAGGTGATATTGACTTACTTTCTCCTGGTTCTCACTGGTACAAAACAACATACATTTTACACAAAACTCTCTGATAGGTATCCACAAGGGAAAGTTTTTTGTTTTTTGGTACCAAGAATCGGACTCGGGACCTTGCACTTGCAAGGCAGGAGCCAGAACCACTGAGCTAAACCCCCAGCCCTCCACAAGGGAAAGTTTCCATCCAGTCCCTGCTGTTTCCCACAGGAGGTTAGACAAAAGTTTCCTAAGTCATTGTTCATTGTAACCCAAGTATGCTTCCAGTGAAGGGCCGTGAGTCAGACTCCACTTCATTGGCAAACTCTAAGACCACCAGGTGGCCTTAGTCATAGAAAAGAATCATTTGATATGGCAGCAGTTGCTGCAGATGTGAATCCTTTCTTTTGGCAACAGACCTTGAGCCCTTACAAGTCTTCAGGGACTATAAATGACAGATGACATTTTTAAAAGTAGGCAAACCAGACTATTGTCATTATTCTTTGGAGGGGGGTTCTTAACTTTTCAGGGTAGCTTGGTGTTCCCCTGCCAGTACAACTTCTCCTCTACTTTTTTCTTTTTCCATTGGCAGAGAAGCAGCATCTTAAAGGTCTTTCTGAAGGTTCTGTTGCAGAGGGCATAGCAGATGGGGTTGACTGTACTGTTGACATAGCACAACCAATAGCCCAAGTGCCACAGAGTGACTGGGACACACTTATCACAGAAGGTGGAAACCAGGACCATGATGTTATAGGGGGTCCATGTAATGATGAAGGCCAGGAGAATGGCGCTTAAGGTCTGGGCTGCTTTCCTCTCTTTGACTAGGACCATTCGCTTTCGTTTGGTCATTTGATGGCTGAGGTTGGGATTGAGGCCTTTTGATGAAGGGTTCTTGGACACTGGGAAGGAGCAGGGCATGATTTTTACTTTTCGACAGCCGTTATTGGTTTCCTGGGTCCCGTCAGCTTTAACCACCAGTCGGAACTTATAAGCCACACACTTCTGACTCCTGAGTCTGTGAGCAGCAGCTGGGGACAGGAAGTATTTTGGAGTATCATAGTCAGTTTTTTCAGTTTGAGCTTTCACGAAAGTCTCCTTGGTCTCCTCAGGACTGAATTCTTCCCTTGGGCTTTCCTTAGCCTGATTCTTGTAGACCACTTGGAAGACAGGGTTGGTGGGGGGCTTGTCCTCATCCTCAGAGGCGGGGAAGCTGCTACAGGCAGTGAGCTGCTCAGTGTTGGCCCAGCTGGTGCTTTGGCCAGTGGCCTGGGATGGCTTCCCTGTGGCAGAGGTGCTCCTTCGGGAGGATGACCAGGAGGCCTGGCTCCTTTCCCTTTGGGCCAGGGTAGGTTGAGGGCAGCTGAAGCAGGACCTGAGCAGAGCCCTGTGAGCTGGCTTTTTCTTCTCAGCTTCAGCCACAGAGTCAGAGCCCTGGAGGTCAGCCAGATCTTTGGTTCGCTTCTCTGTTTCCCGGTAGATTCGGCAGTAAAGAATCGTCATGACAGAAACAGGGATGTAGAAAGCAGCAATGGCTGTGCCAAAAGTGATGGTGGGCTCGGAGAGGAACTGGATCTGACACTCATCTGGTGGTACGGTCCGCTTCCCAACCAAGTACTGCCAGCAGAGGATGGCGGGTGCCCAGAGGACGAAGGAGATCAACCAGGCCAGGCCAATCATGATGCCAGCCCTCTTCGGGGTTCGCTTGGCCCGATATGTCAGGGGTCTGGTGATGGAAAAGTAACGGTCAAAACTGATCACTAGGAGGTTCATGACAGAGGCATTGCTGGCCACATAGTCCAGTGCAAGCCAGAGGTCACAAGCCAGACTCCCAAGAGCCCAGCGTCCCATGAGGATATAGGTGGTGTAGAGGTTCATGGAGAAGATTCCAATGATGAGATCCGCACAGGCTAAGCTGAGCAGGTAGTAATTGTTAACTGTCTTGAGCTGACTGTTGACTTTGAAGGAGATCATGACCAAAACGTTGCCCACAATGGTCATCAGGCTGACTACTGCAGTCACGGCTGCGATGGTGATGACTTCCCACAACCGATGGTGCTCCAAAGGCTGGTGAGTTACCGGGGTGCCATTGCCAGCGGTCACATTGTGGTAAGATTCCCCTTCCATCCTGGTGCGAGAATTTACATTAAGCTTAAGTCTTAGGTTTTAGTTCTCTGTTCTTTCTCACCTCTTCTTGATCAGTATCTCTGGAAGAAAGGGAAATACATTAGCCCACTCACCAGCATGTGTTTCCTTTCCATTCATTGCTTATCATTTCTAATAGAGTATTAAATGTGGCCACACACGTAGTTAGAGAAAAATGCTGAAATTGCTGAACTGTTGATAACATTTTAATCACAGCATTTATCTCTTTGCTTTGTATGATTACCAATGTGCAAGTACACTTACTTCTTGAGCTTGAAACCGCTGCCCTCTTGTGGCGACATTTTAAAGCGGTATGAGAAGATGAAGAAGAAAAAGCAAAAAGAGCCTGATTATTGGGAAGTAGGGATGTTAAATGACTTTGGATTGCAATGATTTTAAGAGCAGAAACTCTGTTTTTTAGGCAACTGGTAATAAAAGCCTAAACGGTGATGCATTGGGGAAGAAGATGGTTGTATTTAGTCTATAGTCCCTGTCTTTATTACTAAACTATTGAGGGGCTGTTTGACTGTGCTGTGCCACTTTTCCCTGCACCAATGCACAAACTCCATGTGCAGACCTGGTTTTTATCAAAGGACTTTGCAATTTGCATCCGTTGCTGAAGATAATCCCTCCATTCTCCGACTGTTTACAATGTCATTGAACAGTGTTAAGCTACAGTATATTTTTTCCCCTGATGATTATAAAGTAATGTGTCCCTCATAAAAGTTCAACCAATGTCAAAATGTAAATTTATAAAACAAAAGTCTTTGCTAATTCCATCTTGCTCTCAGGGGATGGATCTTGAAACCATCATGTTCATTGAAATAAATCAGAAACAAAAGTTTAAATAAATATCCCATGGTTTCTCTTATATGAGAAATCCAAAATATAAGTAATTAAAGAGCACAATAAAGGAGAGATGATAGGAAATAGGGAGATAGGAATTTTTGGAGAAGAGGACCTGAGGAAGGGAGAAGGGGAGAGGGGAGGTGAAGGAAGGGGATAAAAATTATCAAGATGTATGTATCTTGGTTATTTAGGGGATATATCTAGTTTTGGGATATATACATTTAAAATAATGTAATTATATGCTATAAATTTTAAAAAGAGAAAAATATCTTTCCTCTCTCTGTCTTATACAGGGAGTGAATATTATGTAGGGAAATTACCAAATCACATTTCAGTGTCAGGTTGAGGCTGGGGTTTAGTTCTTATAAAATGAAGGGTTGGTCTGTAGGTAAGTGGATCTCCTCATGGTTGCTCATTAAAGCCACACAGGAGCTTTTGAAAGGTATTAATGTCTGGGTCCCACCCCAGGCCTGTTAACTCAGAATCTATGTGGGAGAAACCTGTGTGCCATTTCATTTTCAAATTCCTCAGGTGATTCTCATGTGAAGTCAGACTGGAAAACCTGTGATACTTGAGCCCCCTGCTGCTCAAAGTGAAGTTAATTCAGGGTGCTTCTTACAAACGAATAATTCCATGACTAGAACCAGTGTTTCTCAAAGTGCTGCCAGTTCTTGTTAAATTGCAGAAGGGTGTGGCTTGCAATTCCACATTTCTAAAAAGCTCAGTACTCTCAATGCTGCTAATGTGTGAACCATACTTTAAGCTAAGGATAATTTCTGAACTTCCAGACAAGGAGCCAAGGCTTACCAAGGTGCTGTTAAAGTGTAATTTTCTAATTGAAATGCACAGTAACATTTGGGTCCTTATCTGCCTTCCAAAGTCATCTGAGTTTTTAAAAATTTCTCTCCTGCTCGGAATTAATAAAACTTCCCAACTCCTTTCTATTTTTTTCAATTGTTTTTTGGTCAGGGATAATTTTCCCTGATTTCTAGGCTGCTAGGAATGGACAGATCTTTCCACAGACAAAAGCATTTGGGACGTGAGGTAGGTTCCTTGGCTGAAGGAGTGATTTCTTTACTTGGATCACAATTTATTGTAGAAATTGAGTTTCAAGCATGAGAGTTTTCCACAATAAATTTCTTGAATAATTAACAAATTTTCATTTTTTGAGTAAAACATTGTATTTCTGGAGGAGTAGCTCTTATTTTGGTGGGGGGACAGAAATGTAAGTGGTATCAGGGTGTGGAATCCTTCTGAGCCCTTACTTGGTTATTTCCTCACACTTTATAGCTCTCACTTTTCACTCGCTGTTGAGAAGATGTTTATTACTAAGGCGCCAGCGTTAATAAATATCCCTGGTTTATTATTCCCACCACTGAACAGAAGAATCCCAGGGCAACAAAAGCCTTTGTGTTCCCAGCCTTGCCAATTTGTGTCTTTGTTCTCTGTTGTTGATAAATTACAAATGAAGCAAAATGACATAAAAATAAAAAGGATAACACTGTGTACCAAATGAATTCTTTCCTTGTTGAGTGGCCTTGAACTCTGAGGCTTTGCATAAAGTGAGCTTTGACCTTTTTTTTTTTGAAATCCTTTTTCTCTGGGCAGCTTTTTGCCTGAACCTGTCCTTGCTGCAGTTCATTGTTTCTATAGCAACCATAGTGGAACTTTGGTTCCACTTTAATAGCATCATTATGCCATTGCTGGCGAGACATCATAGCCAGCTCGTGTTGTTATCATGAAGAATATCGATGAGCTGCCATCTGGTCTCTTCCTTTTCAAGGACAAATCAAGAACAAGCAGCCTTAAAATCCATGTAGTAACAACAGGTTAGAAGTGAGAAAGATCTTCCAGTGGAGGAATGTGTGAGGAAGGGAAGTTATGCATTTGCCGTTTTTTGATGATTTTTTTTTTTTTTTTTTGGTACCAGGGATCTAACTCGGGTCCTTGCGCTTCTGCAGCAGGCGGTGAAACCACTGAGCTAAATCCCCGGCCCCTAAACTTTTTTGATTGGTAGAGTAGAAATGCTGTCCAAAGATACACGGTTAAGAGATGGTTAAGAGATGACTCCTTACGGAGGATTTAGCTCAGTGGTTCCGGCACCTGCCGCTCAAGCGCAAGGTCCCAAGTTCGATCCTGGTACAAAAAAAAAAAAGAGAGATGACTCCTTAGCCCCATGTGGTGCCACACACCTGTAATCCCAGCACTCTGGGAGGTTGAAGCAGGATTGCAAGTTCAAGTTCAGCCTGAGTCACTTAGCAAGACCCTGTCTCAAAACAAAATATAAAAACGAGCTAGAGATAGAACTCTGTGTGAAGGCCCTGGGTTCTATACCCCCACTCCATACATGCACAGATGATTGCTCAATGTCTCTGAGTTGATAATAGGGCTTAATATGAGCAGGGTTTTAATGTGACATGCTTTTTAAAACATACTGTGTTCACCACTGTACTAGATAAACCTTATGAAAGAGACACACAGTACTCTGAGCTGAAGGAGTTAATCTTTTTCAGTTCTTAGAAAGAGGATCTAGAAATAAAGTTGAGCCTTTAAAGCCTAATTTATGTGACAGAGAGGTCTATTACTGAGGACATTAAAAAACTTCATTGTTCTAGTAGGACAGGAAAACAGGTTAGATTGCTTTACATGCAAGGCATAAACTGGGGGCATTTAATAAACTGGGGCAGTCCTGTGGGGTAACTTGGGAGGTCCCCTTCTGTTGTGAACAGTCTTGTTTTGTTTTCCCAGAGTACTGGGAAAATGTTTTCATTTTCTATATGTACTACGACATGAAAAAGTCTGGGAAGCACTGCCACAATTAGATGTATGAGAGAATCTAAAAGTCCAGAAGCCCTTGACTCTTGCTCAAGTCTTCCCAACAGAGTTGAAGGCAAAGATTAGGTGTTAAGTTTTGGCTTCCCATGGACAAGGATGTTGCTCTGAAAGAAGTAAGAATAAAAAGGTTTGGGGAAGAGGGAATGACTAACTGTATCAAATAAGGTTGATGAGTAAGATTAGGACTGAGGCCTGACCATTGGATTTAGTTACGTGGAGAACATAGTGAATCTTGGTCAGTTTGGGTGAAATAGTGGACATGTAAACCTTGTGAAGCAGATGGAAGAGTGACTGAGAGGAGGAGAATTATAAACAATGCTATAGAATACTTCTGTAAACCTTGGTTAAAAGAAATAGAGGAGAAACTGTATTAGGGTGTAGAGAAAATAGCTTTTTTTTAAAGAAAGGTAAGGGTTGTGGATTTAGCTCAGTGCCACCATGCTTGCCTGGTTCAAATCCTGGTACCAAAAAAAAAAAAAAAAAAGGTGGAAAGATTGCATGTTTTTATGCTGTAGTAGTTAGGGTGGAATGTCAACTTGATTGGCTTTGGGATCTGACCAAAGGGGATTGGTGGAGCACACCTTTGGGTGGTCTGGGTCATGGAGGTATGACCCTAAGGTCTGTCTCATCCCTTGCCCTTCCTCTCTGGTGCTCTTCCGTGCTCTGCTTCTCAGCCACCATAAACTAAGCAGCTTTGTTCCAACACACCCTTCTGCCATGAATTTTTTGCCTTGGAGCCTATTGACCATGGACTGAATCTTAAAATCAATCTGCAATCATAAGCTAAGTCAAACTGCTCCTTCTTTCAGATGTGGGTGTTGAGTATTGTGTCCTAGCAATGGGAAATCTGACTAATATATAAAATTGTACTAGGAGCAGAATTGTTGCTGTGACTGTTCCTGACCATGTGGTCCAGAGCCCTTGCAACTAGTTTGTGGGAAGAGTTTGGAAAAGTTTGGAGATGCAGGCTGGAGAAACCCTAAAATGTTCAAGCTGAGCTTGATGAGCAAGTCTGGCCAGAGCTCAGAGGACCACAATGCTGATAGGAATGCTGAGAGTAAAGGCCAAGCTCAGAAGGTTTCAGTTGGGAACAGGGACTTCACTGGCAGTTGAACTAGAGGCTATGTGTGTTACACTCTGGCAAAAAAAAAAAAAATTGTCTACATTTTGCCCATGTCCTGAGATTTTGCCAGGAACTGAGATGAAGGGTGGTCGACTAATCTGGCAGAGTAAATTTGAAGAGAACCCAACACTCAGGTTGTGGCATGGGTACTTCTGCTGGCTGCTTGTACTCAGGTTTATAGTAAGAACTGGGGGAAAAAAGCAAAGCAGAAAAATTTGAAAAATATAAATTTTGGCTCAGAAGGAAGTAAAGTTGAGGCCAGAAGCGGTATGGCTGCTGAAAAGATTAATGCCTTTAAACAGAAACCAAGTACAGTAGACCCTTGATTTATGAACTCAATTGGTTCCTGAGGGCTGGTTGTGACTCAAATTGGTTTTAACTCAATCCAGCTGAGATCTGGATGTTTACCTGGGTACATGCTATAGATAACAAGAGGCAGATGACTTAATTAACCGTTAACTTAACTGAAGTTGTTTGTATGTCAGGCTGGTCATGACTTGAGGGTCCACTGTACTTTGTACAAGAATAAGAAGAAAGATGCTTTGAGGGCTTCTCAGGAATCAGTAAGACATCATCTATTACAGGCTCAAAGGTGCAAAAGTATAAACTTTTTATTGGCGAAGAGAGACCCTGGGGTATCTGCTCCTTCTTGGTTCCCTGGAATTCATTTCACTGTGCTCAGCCATCTGGGCACTTAGAGGCTGCTGCAGCCATGATCCAAGGGGATCTGGCTGTTGCTTCTGCTGGCAGCAGACCCTGCCCTTCATACATGTGGTTGTTGGTTTTGCTGGCAGGCAGAACTCGAGAGTTGTGGAGTTAGGGAGGCTTCCATTCTAGATTTCAAGGAAGGGCCTAGAAGGCTAGGCAAAGGGGCCCTGAATGGGCAGTGAATGAAGCTGTGGGAATAAAGCCAAAGGTGCAGAGGACACCTCCAGAAGTTGGAGTTCCTAGGAGCACAGACTGTCAGCTGAAGAAAGTTGCAGGATGTGGGTGGTATCACCCTGAGGGAGAGGCTGTGTGGACTGCAACTGGCAAGGCCATAGGGGTGGGGCCCTGTGGAACTCACATTTTACCACCATGTCCTCTGGCTGCTGGTTATGGAGCTACAGGACTTAATGTTTGCCCTACTGGGTTTTAGTCTTGCTTTGGGCCTATTCTTTTCTATCCTCCTATTGCCCACTTCTGGAATGGGAATATCTACCTTTGCCATTATAACCTGGGATTATATATAACTTTTTTTTTTTTTTTTTACAGAGGTTCGCAGCTAAGAGTTTGCCTTGATTTTCAGAAGGGACTTTGACTTGGACATGTGAAAAATGCTGGAATTGTTGAGACTTTGGGGGAAGGGACTGTTGTTTTCAGTTGTACAGAGAACAGTTGTATTGTGTTAGGCAAAATTATGATAGCTGTTGTCTTTTTTTTTTTTTCTTTTGTGGTACCAGGCATTGAACTCAGGACCTTGTGCTTGCAAAGACAGGCACGGTGCCACTGAGCTAAATCCCCAGTCCTCGCTGTTGTCTTTATTTGGAGGTTAAGTATGGTTTAAGGAGATGCATGTGGATATGAAGTTGACAAGGGGGAGGATGTGGCGGGTATGGTACGGTGACAACTTTATTGGTTTTGGGATCCACTGAGGGAATCGGTGGAACACTTTGGGGTGTGCCTGGATGGGTCATGGAGGCCTGGCCTTGAGGTCTAAATCAGGTTCCTTGCTCCTTTCTCTCTGGCACTGCTCCCCTGATCTGCTTCCCAGAGCCATGAACTAAGTATCTTTGCTGCACTACATGCCACACCCTTTTGCCATGTTTACGCCTTGGAGCCAGTTGACTTGAATCTCCTGAACTGGTGAGCTAAATTAAACCTATCCTCCTTTAAGTTGTGGGGGTCTGATATTGTGTCCTAACAATGAAAAGCTAGTATTTATGCTATTGTGAACCAGCCATTAAAAGGTAAAGACTGGAGTGTGAGGAGAGAGTGGGAAGAGTTGCTGGAGAGATGTTACCAGGTAGGTAGGCAGGGCTAGGAAATAGTTGCAATGAGAGAGATGTTGGCCTTGGACTGGAGCCAAGACCCTTCTATGGTAACCCAAGGAAAGGCACAGGGTAAGTGCAGATAGAGGTGTGCTGGGAGTTGCTGTAATAGTAGAAAGTCTTTTCTGACTCTTTCCATTTCTCTATGAAATAAAAACGGTCAACAGCTGAGAGTGGCCTGGACTATTTTAGTGGTTTCCTAATGTCTCCACTTAGAATTGTCATCCTCCTCTACAGAATGATTTCCTGAGTGTAGTGGATAAGGGTGTAGACTTTGAGGCCAGACCTCCCAGGTTCAAATCATTCCATTACTCACTAGCTGTGTGACCTTACAAGTTGCTTAATATCTATTTAGATCCCTGATCTGTAAAATGGAGATAACACTAGTTTACTTACAGGGCTACTGTGAGGTTCAAATGAAAAGATATATATGAAGTACTTAGGGCTGTATCTGGTGCATGTGAAGTGCTCAGCCAGTGTAGACTATTTTAAGAATGTTTTTCTTAGTTGACAATCCTTCCCAGGATCCCTCAACCTAGGAAGTCCCCCTCCTCCCTCCCATTTGTCAACCAGGCCAACTTCTGCTCCGCTCATGCAACCTTGGGCATACTTCTTTGCGCCCGACCTTGAACCTCTCATTGAACTCGGTACAATGTAGTCTAAATATCTGCTTATAGGATTATATTCCTTGTGGAGTGAGCTGCTTCAGGACAGAGACAATGTCTCTAATTCAGGACATAGCACTCTCTCTGCACAGTGCAGACAAAAGCAATGAACATTAACTACATATGGATATAAGAAAGGGCCAATAAGGACTGGGAAGCAAGAAAACACTTCTTTTGTTAGGCTGACTTTAGCTATTGCTTTCATTATTTTCATGTGGTTCTGCTGTACAAAGTTTAAAGTGGCTCCCAAGCATCTGTATAGCTAACCGTTCCCCTTCCCTTCTTGCAGTGAGACACCCTGAGGTAGAATGCCAGGTCTGTCACTGTCTAGACGTGTCACTTTAGGCAAGCTCTTTAACTCTCTAGGACTCTTTCTTCATCTGCAAAATAAGGGTAACAGCATCCATTATCAGAGCTTTATGAGAATGAGGTATGAGCTATATAGTAGCCTCCTCCACCCTCTACCAGACTGTACTCTCCTCTACTCCCAGGGCCTGCCGTCCACACCCCTTACTTGGTTCCTACATCCGTACCTCCTCTGGATCCTGACTTCAGTATAGGTGTTTACAATGATATTTATATGCTCATTCTTGACAACTAGGTGATTAACCTGAAGAAAGAACTCATTGGAAGTCTCAGCACAGTTAACTTAGGCTAGTAACATTTTGGAATATATTTGTATAAACCTCTTCTAAAACAAACACATTTGAACTTTTTTTTCTTTTCTAAAAATGAGCTCATAGCTGGATGTGGTGGCACAGGTCTGTCACCCTAGCTACTCCAGAAGCAGAGGCAGGAGGATCATAAGTTAATGGTCAGGCTGGGCAATTTAGTGAGACCTGTCTTAAAGTACTGAAGACAGTTAAGTTAGGTAGAAATATTATAGGCAATCAGACAGGGCTAGGCCCATGAAGAAGTCAGTGCAGAAGAACACATTACAACTGTGGCTGGTGGTGGAGGTGCATTTGTTGAAGGCAGACCTCAAGACAAAGGTGAAATGCTACACCTTCCCCAGGAATAAACCATGATTGATATTCTAAATCAGCATCAATCACCTGGGTGGGGATCAAGGCCTCCTGACCCATCCTCTCCAGGAGAGGTCCTTGTTTGTTCCATGTACACTTGCTACTTGACTTGCTTCCCCATTTGATCCTCATTTAATCAATATTACCTAAGCAATTATATTTGTAATCTTACTAGTTTTGCCCCACCTTATACCTGCCTCATCTTGTGGTTTTGTGCTATAAAACTCCCTTGAGAAGTCAGGGTCCCCGCCCCCCAGGAACCCCTTTTTTCTTAGAAATTATCTTTCTCTCAATAAATAGTTCCTACTCCTAACCTCTGTTGTTCCTAGAATCCATTCTTCGATTTTAGAGAACAGGAACTCAGCGAATTGGACATCTAGCAGGTTGGGAGTTACAATATTTTCCTTATATTATTTGGAGGTTCTCTCTTACCTCTATATCATATGCCCTATATCAGAAGTAAATAATGAGGATGGGGGATGTAGCTTTGTGGGTTAGAGTGCCCCTGGGTTCGATCCCCAGTACCTCAGAGGAAAACAAAAACAAAAACAAAAACAAAAACAAGGGTCGGGGATTTAGCTCAGTGGTTCTGGTGCCTGCCTTGCAAGCGCAAGGACCCGAGTTTGATCCCTGGTACAAAACCACCCCAAAACCAAAAACAAAACCCCACCTCATACAGATGTTTCATAATCGTGCTTTTGATATAGGGAGTATGACATAGGGATGATACATGGACCTCCAAAGAATATAAGGGAAATATAACTCCCAACCTGCTAGATGTCCAATTTGCTGAGTTCACGTCCTCTAAAATGGAAGAATGGATCCTAGGAACAACGGAGGTTAAGAGTAGGAAGAGTTTATTGAGAGAAAGTTAGCTTCTATCTAAGAGAGACAGAGAGGTCCTGAGTGGGTTCCTCAGGGACCCCCACTTCTCAACGGAGTTTTATAGCGCAAAACCACGAAGTGAGGTGAGTATAGGGTGGGATAAAACTATAGTCAACTAGTAAGATTACAAGTAAGGTCGCTTAGGTATTATTGAGAAATCAGAAGGTGGGTACAGGTGAGGCAAAACTATGGCCAAGCAATAAGATTACAAGTCTAGTCACAGGTAATACTGATTAAATGGGGATCCAATGGGGAAGCAAGTCAAGTAGCAAGTGTACGTTACCAAACAAGGAGTTTACAAGAAGAAATGGGCCTGGGAGGTTTTGGTCCCCCACCCAGGTGACTGATGACTATTTAGGGTATCAATCACTGCTGTTCCTCTCTACGGGAAGTATGTGAGTGTAGTCATTTCTCCGTCTTAAAGACTGACCTTCAGCGAAGGTCCTGTCTATAGTATTTTAACTGATTTAGCTGCCTACAATACTTCTTCTTGCCATGTCTCCTTCAACCCCAATCTCCGGGCCCTAAGGACCCCAGCCCGTTCAGCTCCCGGGCCCCAGCCTTGGCCTGCAGCCCTCCGCGCCGGCCCCGCGCCGGCCCCGCCCCGGCCCGCACGCCACAGCGGGCAGGTCGCTCTGGTTCCTCCGGGCGGCCGCTTCCGGTGGGCCCGGGCGTTTCCGCGGCGGCGGCCCAGCTCCCGAAAGCTCCGCAAGGCCAGCGGCGCCAGATGCAGGCGGAGCGGGGAGCTCGGGGCGGCCGCGGGCGGCGACCTGGGCGCGACCAGGCCGGCGCCGCAGCAGCAGTGGCGAGAGGCGGCGGAGGGGACAGAGGCGGCCGGCGGGGTCGCGGCCGGGGCTTCCGCGGCAACCGCGGAGGTCGGGGCGGAGGAGGCCCGCGCGGCGGTCGCCGGGAGTCGGGGGGCAGGGGCGCCTGGACGAGCGCGCCGGTAAGAGGACGGAGGCGGCGGCGGCGGCGGCGGCGGCGGGGACGCCTGCGCGGGGCGGGGCGCGGTGGGCAGGCACGTGGCGTCCCTGGCTGCTTCGGGCGGGCGGGAGGAACGGGCCTGTCGGGTGCTGCGGGGTCCCTCGCCGAGCTGGGCTTCCCTGCCCGGGCCAGGGCCTCCCGGTGTCAGTGCTGAGAGTCCCGGGAAGGGAGGCTCCGCTACCGGGCGAGGCTTGGGGCCTGGGAGCACTGATCTGGGCGGCCTCGCGCACCCGGCGCGTCTCTGTCACAGGAAGGAAGCAAGGCTCGGTCTTCCGCCGTGCAGCGCCGGGCGCACAGTTGGCACCTTAAAACCATGAGTGGGGTGCGGGGTCCGATCTCTTTTTCCATACTGTGGTTTTCTGTTTTATGCGTGAAATTGGCGCTGGCCTGCCTCATTTCTGAATTTTCAATGTGTAAATGTTTCGGTAGTCAGGCTTGAGGTTTAATATAATCGGTCTTTTTCACATAGTCATAGAAATTTCTCAGATGAGCGCCAGGAATGATACAAGAGCAAATTCTTATTTACCAGCTAAAGTACTCAGAATGCTTTTAATGAGTATCTGCTGTTATTGTAACTTTTTTTGGGGGGGTACCGGGAATTGAACTTGGGACCTTGCGCTTGTGAGGCAGGCAACAGCACCACTGAGCTAAATCCCCGGCCCTTGTTATTGTAACATTTACAGTGCAAAATTGACTTTTATGTTTTGAATTCTTAGGCATCTAGAGTAAAAATTTTTTTTATTGAGACTAAATTTCCTGTTACTGTAATAATGACCGTCCTCCCATTCTGGGAATCCAACCTGAGACCTCACTGCTACCAGCCCTGAATTTGCAATATTTTAAGGGCATAGTAGGTAAACTATTGATATAGTAGGTATATGCAGTTGTGTGCAGACTACGGAGTTGGAGAAATTATAAAACTTAAATCTAAGTGTAATAAACTTAACCTTGTTAGGATTGGGTAGGTAATAAATACAGTGAGGAATGAAGAGATTTTTTAGGATGAGCTGCTTTCCTGCCATTTTGAGAAAGGAAATGATAGAAACTAGCAACAGCCTAATGCCCACTGTATATCACATTTTGTATAACACTTCCACGTTTTATATGTATAACATT